AGGCCCCTCAAGAAGCAGCGTAAACACCCAAATGTGACTGTATTTCAGTGAGCCTGGTGACTTTCAGAGCTAGAAGATGTTAAACCCTCGGTAAGCCACCGGGTAAGCCATTTGTGCAAGTCATTAAAGCAGCAATTTTTAATTTGCAAAGTATCCTGTTTATACAACACATACAGAGTCTGTAATATGAAGCTCTGACCTTGAGAAGCCAAGACTATCAAACTGAAAAGTTTCTATGTCAATCTCTTCCTGGGTCTGATTTTAAGGGTCTCTGACGCTGAGTAAGGCTCTTTTCCTAGCCTTTCCGTGATTTGCTACAGATTTACTATTCTGGATTCAATAATGCTGTAGGGGAAATAAAGAAGGGAAGCACAGAGCCACTTTCCAAAGTCGTAAATGTAGAGGTTGCATGAGCCCCATTCCACCCAGATAGTCTCATTTAAAATCAAGACACTTGCTTTCCAGAACGAAAGGCTTTACTGTCCAGTCAGCACCAAGACAGAGATGCTGCTGTGGGCTAATGGGCAGGAGAATAAATGTTGTTTTTTTTTTTTTTTTCGTGAGGATACAAAGTAAGAAAAAGCGAATAATGAATGTTGAGCAGGAGAGCTTCATTTAGTCATTTAGTTCTGCATGGGTAAGCAACATCTGTGAGAAAGTTGCCTTTCCTCTCAACTTACAGCCATTTATAACTATACCAGAAGGTGATATAAACACATCATGATGAAGTGAGAGGATAAAGTCTTAACTGCAGGCTGTAGTAAAACCTAATGAGATCTTAGAGGTCATTGGTCTAATACCCAGCGCTGAAGCATGAGGCCCTCTCCACTCCTTCTCTTATATGTATGTCCTGACTCTGGCAGTGATGGAAACTGATTCCTAGGATAGTCAGTTCTCCATTTGCAGTCACTTCTTTCTGGCAGTAATCATTTTATTGGTACCACTTGGCCCTAGTTCTGTTTTCTTGTGGCCACATGTAGTAAGTCTGAACCTGGGGTTTATCGACAGGTAGACTGTGAAAGGCACTGACAGGTTTTGAAGCATTAGATGCATAGAATGCCTGGATCAGTGAGACTGGAGACTGCAGCAGGATTCTGAAAACACTTCCCAGGAAGTCATAGTTGAGAACTACTGACTTGCACCTTCTTTTTTCCCCAATAATTAATTTTTTTAAAAAAAATCACTTTACATTCCGATCATAGCCCCCACCTCTCCTCCCAGTCTCATCCTTACAAATCCCTCTTTCCATTGCCTCCTCCTCAAAGAAAGGGGACCCCCCCCCTTTGGAACTACCCCACCCTGCAGGAGTAGACACATTCTCTCCCACTGAGGCCCAATCAGGCAGTCCAGGTAAGGTAAGGGGATCCAATGCCAGGGAACAGAGACAGCCTCTGCTCCATTTCTTACGGGACTCACATGAAGACCAAGCTTTACATCTGCTGTAAATGGGTAGGGGTATAAGTTCAGCCCCTGCATGTTTCCTGGTTGGTGGCCCAGTCTCTGTGAGCCCCCAAGGGCTCAGGTTACTTGTCTCTGTAGATTTTGTTGCACCCACTTTTTACTGTTACAAAATCCTCACCTGAACTGAATGTTCTCTTCCTTAGTTGTGGCTCTCAACTATTCCTTTAAAGCAGAAAGAACAAAGCAATTTGAAGCTATTACCAGTAATCTCAGGGAAGAAGCCCATAGATAGAAAGTCTTCAAAGACTCCAAGGCTCAAAGTAGTGGGATTACTTGACTTCTTCCACAATTAGATGAGCCTTTTTGCCAATCGACAAACTTGAAAAAAAGTACAAAAAACTTAAAATATCAAAAGTATATTTAAAAAACTTTTGTTATTCAAATGCTATTGGAAATAAAGCAAAAAGACAACCGCCAATATGGAGAAATACTTGTAAAGTCATATATCTGATAAAGGTCTGGTATCCAGAATATTCCAGGAACTATTGTCATTCAGTATTGAGAACAGAAATAATACAGGATGTACAAGAGGATCTGAGGATATGCCTCCATTGGTACAGGGTTTCCTTGCCTTGCATGCGTGAAGGAAGGCCTGGGTTCACCACCCAGCACGGGGCATGGTGACACACACATACATGTGGGAGGTAGAGACAGGAGGATCAGACATTTAAAATTATGTTCAACTACAAAGTAACTTGAAGGCCAGCCTGGGCTATGTGAAGCCTTGCTCCAAAACAAACAAACAATAATAAGTAAATGAATGAAATGAAAACAAGTAAGAGATTTAAACCTATTTTTCTAAAATAGAGATACAAAATATAAGCACCTTTTTCTAATCTCTCCATAGAACATACATATTAATACTTTATTACTATAACTATTTTTTAACTTTTATAAAATTCACTAACATTTTTGCTTCGATTTTGCTTTCAATTGCTTTGGTTCAGAGAACACCAGACTCATGGGCAGTTATTTATCCAGGTGAATCTTCCTGGTAATGTCCCCAGATTCGGATTTTGAGGTTTTGGGGGACAGCCTATGGGTCTGTATTCTAGCAGCAGCTTCATAGACTGAGAGTAGGCTTTCAAGAACACTGTTGAGGGATGCTGGTAGTTGGAATGGGTCTGTACTGTCTAAAACATGACCTTGGTCCTCACTTAGAGCAGTAGCTTTAGTCATCCTTCCCAAAGAGATCAACAAGACATTCTTGTGGTTGAGGTGCCAGTGGAACCATTACATAACTCATAATTAGAGGATTAATTACAAGGTTAATTGATAAGAACTGAGCTTATGTTACAGAGTAGACAGACTCTAGTGCTTAAGTGTAGGGTAGAAAGGTGGCCACTCTGCTCTTAGTGGTGAGATCATGGACACATGGTTTCCAAGGCTCTAGAAAATAATTGGGGTTTTGAGGAAACGTGGCTCTCCCAACACTGTGGTCAGGGACAACCCCAAAGGAACATGATTTTTACCCATATGAGGACTTGGGTGAGCTCAGGACATAGAAATTGTAGGATTCAGACAAAATGAGCTACAAGAATAAACATTGCCCAGCCTTGGGAAATTTCTTTTAGCTGTCAGTTTGACCCTGCACTGGGCAAAAGGCCCCATGCAAAGCAAAAGCACACAGAGAACTGAGGGGATGTTAGTCAAAGAATACTAACTTTCACTTATAACAAGAGTAGGCTCTGGACATGAGGGTCCACCAAGGTGACTATAACTAATGGTAATGTTTTCTTGAAATTTGAAGAAAACGGAGGAGAGAGAAAGAGAGAGAGAGAGAGAGAGAGAGAGAGAGAGAGAGAGAGAG